GAGAGAGAGAGAGAGAGAGAGAGAGAGAGAGAGAGAGGTGGGGGAGGGGGGGGAGAGAGTTGTTAATATATGCTGATACATGTTGTCTAAATATATGTTATATAATCTTTTAAAGAGTTCGCTAATGTGTAAGCAATGACATTTCGATTAACAATCATTAACAATGATATAAACTCATGGGGTTTTCAGCGATACATATAATACTGTATATATGTAGTGTTCAGAATATTAAGGTAACGTGTAACATTACGCCCAGTAAGCCACCTGGCAGCACAGATGAAGCGTAAGGTTAAAAAATACATTCAGAAAAACCGCAGATGTATAATATAAAGATAAGAGTTTGGATGGGTTTCAAATAAAAGCGATTGTGTATCGGGGTATATGGTTCCCCACTTGACGTCACTTTTTACCTGAGACCAATTGATCGAGTGATGACGTCAATTCCTAGCAAAAACTCTCACTGGACAGTAAAATTGCGCAAAATTAGCCAACGAAATAGCCGTTAGTGTCTATTGAATTATCAGCGTGGCCCACGTTGAGGTAAATTCGACAGTGGGGTCTTGCGAGTAACTTCCAACTACTATTTAATTCATCAAGTGTGAGTACTCTACACCAGCTGTTCTTCCGCTCAGAGCCTCTGAGGCAATGTTACTCTACACAGGAGTCTAGCTGGGTGATGGCGTTTTTTATCTTTATTTATTTATTTATTTATTTATTTATTTATTTATTTGTTTGTTTGTTTGTTTGTTTGTTTGTTTGTTTGTTTATTTATATATTAATTGCAAAATTCCTTGCTTTTGGAGATGTGTGCACAGGTGTAGCCATATTTGTAACCTGTTGACTTAAAATATATCCCCGATAAAATTCTCTATGAGGCCCCAGTAGAGGGTAGGGTGAAACCGTGAGCGTCTATCAGATGTACTTTATCTAAACCTCTCCTCTTTTCTCCCTTGACAGAAAGATATGCTAACCGATAAATTGCGAAAAAACCTGCCCGCCCTTTTGACGTATCTACCTGTAATATGTGTTCATTATGCAGATATGGTATATATCTTTATTGCGACCCCCCATGTCATTTTTTATCAAAGTTCTTGACATGCTTATGTCAGATAACAGAGACGGTGACATGAAAGGTATCAGTTTGCTGGCGACTCAGGTGAGGGAGGATTGCCGCATGATAAATTAATATCATGACTAAGTCTTTAACTGAATCTTGACAAAAGTAGGCAATCATGAGTGATCGTTCGNCTTTTAAATGATAAAACTGAACAGTTAAAACTTAACAGTAGTAATATTATGCCAAAGTGAAACGTTTGTTTTTTTCGCATCTTGTGGCCTATTATTTTGAACCGTTCCGGGACAAAAACATACTGATAAGACTTATTAATAAGTATAAATGACATCTTGTCTGGGGGCACTCTATAAGAGCCAGTGTGACAGGAATGAAGTCTTAGGAATGGAAGTCCGGGGTCCCACGACACATGATAAGTACAGGTAAGGGTTAGTCAGAATATTAGGGTTAGTATACATTAATGAAACGAATGTCACCTGTACAAAGTATTAGGGAACGGTCTACGGTTCCTCCCCTGTCAAACAGACATTCTTATGCAGAGTTACGCCCACTGCGCTATGCTAAATTGCTTCCCTATGACATTACAGCCGGATATTAAACACAGTTACACGTGCAGTTACAGCTATTTCTTTCGACTGAGAAGCAGCCAAGGTAACACACGTATTAACCTAAGATTATATTTGTTGGCGCCGGTTACAGGTGGAGATCAAGCCTCTCTCTCTCTCTCTTTTTCGTTCACTTGTGTGAAACTTGTCAAATCGCGGAAACTTGTAGGTTACAACTGCACCTTTTTTACCATGATTTACGTTTGTAACTTCATAAACGCTGTGACATTTTTGTGGAGGCACATCTGCAGCTTATGACATCACACCGATTAAAAGGAAATTTAAATTACTTAAAAGAGTCGACAGTCTGCACCGACAAGAGCTGGGTTCTGATAGCGCCGGACAAGAGGTACAGTGTAGGTCCTCAGTGGCGGATTTAGGGGGGGGGTGTCAGGTGGGTCCTTACCTCCCCTTCGATTTCTGAAAATCTAATGCCCCCCTCTTGAACTTAGAACTTTGGCTAGCTGAATCATAGTTCTAAACCGTACCAAATGGCACCGTTCGCCCTCTAAAATACCATCGAAAAACCCAACGCCAAGGGGAGGAGAGGGGACCCCCCTTCAAATAATCCTGGATACGCCCCTGGGTCCTGCATGTAACATACTACATGTACTAGTACTTATATCAGGGGGCCAATGTCATATGCTCTAAACGACTCAAAGCCGACCAGGAGATGAAGATGTTTCAGCATATGACATTAATCTACTATAAATAATGTTGTAAACAATTTAGTGAGCGAATATCTCAGTCTGCTGACTTCAGACGCGCGGTGAGTAAGATTGAAAACCTTAATGTTGACCTTAGACTCAGCTGTTTACGTGAAAATACTCTTTAACTTTTGCCTCAGCAATGGTGGCGTCTGTCTTTGTGTACTTGAGCGATCCCTTCTTGTTAACGCTTTTACTTCAGTGTACAGTTGTTGCAGTACACGGATAGCATGGCGTTTTAAAACTGAAAAACAACCTTTAAAAGCTGCCTTCTATTCCAGAAAGACGTAAAAGAGACGAGACACATAATATCTACACTGGATCAACGTACTGGATTTATACACGTGGGATACCATACCGGGTACACTCACATGTTCATGGTGCGTACCACCGACCCATCCCGCAAAAAACAATGAAGAATTATGAAGGAGGAAACACTGTCTGGGGGTACGTACATACGTCCACCCAGAACTTTAGGCCACGGTAATACAGAGAGAGAGAGAGAGAGAGAGAGAGAGAGAGAGGAAAAGAGAATCAAAAAGAGAGAGAATAAAGGAGGGAGAGTGATGAAAAAGTGAGAGAGAGAGAGAGAGAGAGAGAGAGAGAGAGGGGGAGGGAGGGGAGAGAGTTGTTGATGTATGCTGATACATGTTGTCTAAATATATGTTATATAATCTTTTACAGAGTCCGCTAATGAGTAAGCAATGACAAAGACATTTCGATTAACAATTATATAAATTCATTGGGTTCTCAGCGATACATATAATACTGTACATCTGTAGAGTTCAGATTATAAAGGAGACGTGTAACATAGCTTTTATTATATATATAATAAGTTGTAATCCTAATAATTTTACCTGTAAACAGCACTGAGACGTTAGTGTAGTGCGGTTTTAAGAAATAAATATTATTATTATTATTATTATTATTATTATTATTATTACGCCCAGTATGCCACATGGCAGCACAGATGAAGCGTAAGGTTAAAAATACATTCAGAAACACCGCAGATGTATAATATAAAGATAAGAGCTTGGACGTGTTTCAAATAAAAGCGATTGTGTATCGGGGTATATGGTTCCCCACTTGACGTCACTCCTTACCTGAAACCAATTGATCGAGTGATGACGTCAATTCCTAGCAAAAACTCTCACTGGACAATACAATTGCACAAAATTAGCCAACGAAATAGTAGTTAGTGTCTATTGAATTATCAGCGTGGCCCACGTTGAGGTAAATTCGACAGTGGGGTCTTGCGAGTAACTTCCAACTATTATTTAATTCATCAAGTGTGAGTACTCTACACCAGCTGTTCTTCCGCTCAGAGCCTCTGAGGCAATGTTACTCTACACAGGAGTCTAGCTGGGTGATGGCGTTTTTTATCTTTATTTATTTATTTATTTATTTATTTATTTATTTATTTATTTGTTTGTTTGTTTGTTTATTTATTTATTTATATGTTGATTGCAAAATCCCTTGCTTTTGGAGATATGTGCACAGGTGTAGCCATATTTGTAACCTGATGACTTAAAATATACCCCCGATAAAATTCTCTATGTGGCCCCAGTAGAGGGTAGGATGAATCCCTGAGCGTCTATCCTCAGATGTACTTTATCTAAACCTCTCCCTCTTCTCTCCCTTGACAGAAAGATATGCTAACCGATAAATTGCGAAAACACCTGCCCGCCCTTTTGACGTATCTAATATGGGTTCATTATGCAGATATATATCTTTATTACGAGCTCCCACGTCATTTTTTTTTAACAAAGTTCTTGACATGCTTATGTCAGATATCAGAGACGGTGACATGAAAGGTATCAGTATGCTGGCGACTCAGGTGGGGGAGGATTGTCGCATGATAAATTAATATCATGACTAAGCCTTTGACTGAATCTTGACAAAAGTAGGCAATCATGAGTGATCGTTTGACTTTCCCTTTCAAGTCTGGCCTGTCCAACAAGCAGTCTGACACTCGTGACAGTTTTTAAACTGTTAAAACAAAAAAGGAAAAGTTGGTTTATATTTTTGGACAAAACGATGTAGTTTACTTTGATCCAAGAATAAATCAATAGAAATTTAAAAAAAAAGACATTTGGTGCCCTTTTGTTTTTACAAAATTGACGTAAGAAAAATTCTGATCATATCAACAATAAGTGTACCTATTTCATATTTATGGACTACTGCAATTTTCATTGAAGAAGACCAAAAGGTACGTTCGGGCATAAATTTAAGTTGACTTTCAGTCTTAATATTTTTCGTGCTGGTAATCTGCTCCAGATAACCCATACTGCCTGTATAGCACTACTGATATTATATAGTCACCACCACAGCTACTGGGGTACATGTAACACACGTCGCGTGCATCTGCAGCATTAAGAGTCTTTCCAGGGGGATATAAGGTCATTGACGCGTAGAACGGTCCTCTCCAAACTGACAAAACTCGGGATTACAGTACTCACATGTATACTATTTGCTATTACAAATATTTAACAAAATGTTTTCTTTTCTTTTCAGAAGGACAAGAAGTTGAACGAAAATTGGGGTATTCACGGCGACTGTATCGATCGCGATTCTTTATTCTTTGCTATTTGTATTTGTTCCCTACAAGGCAATGGGGTTTACTTTTCCCCAAATCAAACGACGAACGCTACTGGGGTACAAGTAACACGGCTCGCGTGCGACATTAAGAGTCTTTTCCAGGGGGATATTAGGGCATGGACGCTTAGAACCAAGGTTCTCCCCAAACCAGACAACACTCGGGATTACACTACTCACATGTATAGTATTTCTACTACAATAACTTTACAAAATGTTTTCTTTTCTTTTTAGATGTACATATGATACAATGCAAAGGGCAGGAAAAGCGAAAATTGGGGTATTCATGATGACGTTATCGATCGTGATTTTTTATTCTTTACTATTTGGATTGGGGCTCAACAAGGCGATGGAGTTTACTCTTCCTCAAATCAAACGACGAACGCTCTCGTGGATTCGTACAAAAACACTGGCAGAACCAACAGAGCCCCCTTTAGTAGAATGGCTGTACACAAATTTGACCACGGAGATGTATATCCTCTCTGCCTACTACGATGACAGGCCGACCGTGGAGTTTCTTGCTGTACGTATCATAGGGGTGGCGGATAAAGGGAGGATCGAAGACAAAGGAGAGAGGGTGTTCTGTGTTGTGTGGGGTGGCACAAATGACCTCGTTGGTAGCGTTCCTGAGGAAATGGCGGCCACCCACATTGGCCCGGGGGCATGGTCTCTTGGAAAATATTTTAGAGAGTATATATTCGTCTGCCCTTTAACAAATGTTTCCATTTCCAGACCCTCATTTGTATCTGTCATAGACGAAACATACTTTAACAAGACAAAAAATCAGTCCCGGGAGATCAGCTTGAAAGAAACACTGGCCACTCTTCCAAAGATACCTGTGAGGTATCCAGAGCGCCCTCTCAACAAACTGGACTTTGGTCAGTGCACAAGTATCACATACTGGACCTTAGATCCTTACCGTATAGTGGAATGGGTGGAGCTACACAGAATATGGGGTGTGAAAGAGATGAACATTTACGGTAGTGTAATCAATGACACTTCAGACAGAGTATTCAGACACTACCACAGCGGGGGTTTCCTGAAGTACACCAGGATTCGGAGGCCAATGAATGAAACGTCCGAACCGATCTTTCTTCTGATGGCGTCGACGGTAATAAATGACTGCATATACAAGAATATGTACAGATACAATAAGATTGTAGTTGTCGATCTCGACGAACTGATCGTTCCTCGTGGTAACCTTAGCACCTACAACGAGCTCATAGAGACCATAGACCGTTCAATTAAACTTGAGCATCCAAATCGAATGTATATGTTTCAAAATGTATACTTCTTCTTTGAACTGCCACAAGACGTACGGTTTCCAGAACAAGTAGTGACGCTGCGCCAGATAGGGCGTCTGAGAGACTTAACCCCGGTAGGAACTGCGGCAAAAAGTATTATAGACCCAATGGCGTGTACTAACATGCATAATCATTTCTGTTGGCATGTAGCAAAACTAAGTGACAAACCTTCACATACGAACTACGTGAACCCGGATTTAGGACTTAATCAACATTACAAAAAGTGCCACTTCGACAGATACATGAAATCATATAATTTACCGCCGTGCAAAGAGGCGCTGAAGAATTTCACCACAGATAAAAATATGCAGAGATTCAGTCATTTACTTATACCACGTGTTAAAACAGAACTGGACAAATTGGGCCTGCCTCATCAATTATAGTTGTATTGTTAAGGGAGGACTGTAGGCTGGAGATTTTATCTTAAATTAAAGGGGTTAGGTTTTCAAATTACACAGTTCCAAGTTCATCGAGTGACGTAATATTGGGATTTTTGCGGCAAAACATCATTTTCGGTTTCCTGATTTTCTAAGGCACCTGGATGGCTCTAAACATGATTTTAATGGTACTATAACACTTGGACAAAGTACAACAAAGAGTGTCCGAGGATTTTTCTTTAAAGACTTACTGTTGATTTTATCTTTAAAAACGTTATTTTAGCCCTACAGTCCCCCCTTAACATAAACTGTGCAAATATGTACACGACAGATTTGGACAGGTAAAGAATGTAGACTGAGCTGCGTCATTTGATAACACATACCTAAAAACCAATTTGTATATAAATCTGTATATAATTCTGTATATACATATACTTGTTTGTGTTGTCTGTAATTACAATTTTGTGCATCAAAATAATGAAAAATAAACAGTATAGATATTCCACCTTCCTATCCATTACCGCCAAGTGAGTTACCAATTTAACATGAGACACACACCACCTTGTACCAAATAATTTCTTTTGATGTTCCCAAGGTTCACGTACCACACATGTTATGTCAAGGACAAGGTAAATCTGAAAACCAGAAATGGAATTAAATTTCCCTTTTTTCTTACGATAATGCCGTTTAATTTTTTAAAAATGTTATTTAGTAGTCAAGTCATACAAAGAATAATATCAGCTCGCTTCACTCTGATGTAATTTATCTTCATACATTACGTTTTATACTGTAGCATTTAATCTGGGATATAAAAAGTCATGTAACGCTAAACACATAACAAACCAATTTACTCTGACATAATTTATTTTATACATTACATTTAATGCTTGAGCATTTCATCTATGAAATTCAAAAAGGACCAGTTAGTAAGTGATATCTGTAAGTGGAAAACCGGTCACATCTCTAGCACTACGTTAACCTTCGCCTAAACGACCGCGTAACATCTCCAATTATCACGTATATTATACACTGAGAACACGATTTAATATTTTATATACAACCTTTTGAGTAAAATATTTAAAAATATTATTCGGTGAGAATTGGCAGTTAAATCGCGATGATCTAATACCGACATTCTGGCTTCGCTAATTTTCTTTGGACACTGTTTATGAAAATAATGACCGCAGTCAGGAGAGCGTTGACCAAGTACAAAGCTTCACTTGTCTAACAAAATGTTTTGTGTTAAGTTTTAACTAATAAAACATGTGTTTGGTTCAATATGTAGCTAAAGTAATTCATTATCTGTTAAATGGCCACCAGGTCCATGGCTTATATTTTTCTTTAATCATTTCATGTGTTGCTTAATGTCTTCGACAAGTCAGGTCGCCTAAACGACATCTTCATTTATCATTCATATTATAAATTGAGTACACGATTTAATATTTTATATGCAACCTTTTGAGTAAAATATTTAAAAATATCATTCGGCGAGAGTTGGCAGTGATATCTCATCTAATACCGACATTCTGACTTTGCTAATTTTTTTTGGACACCGTTTATGAAAATAATGACCGCAGTCAGGAGAGCGTTGACCAAGTACAAAGCCGCCATGGTTAAAAACGCTGACTTGTACGACCCGCTTATATCGTAAATAAAACCTAAAAGAAAGACAAAGTTTATACTGTAGAATGACTCTTTATATCAATGCATTCCTTTGGTAGATGCACAATATTCATTCTTCTGTGTGTCAAACAGAGGCAGACAAAAACAACCCTTTTTTAAATAATAAATTATTTTTTCTTGTGTCACTTTTATATGTTTGCGTCCTGTTTGGTAATAAAAATGATTTAGATTTTCTGAGTGATTTTAAGTTATTTATTTCTCATGTGCATGTACATGTATTGTCCTCGAAAGAGTTATAACATTCATTTTCTTCTTAATATCAGTTATTGTGCTTACTAAGCATATAAGAAGATTTTAAAGAGGGTACCTGCCAGGAAAGGTCCTACAGCGGCCCCCAGTCCCATGCCAGACCGTAGTAGAACAAACAGCGCTGGGACGTCCTGACCACTGAGTACCTCACCACATGAGGCGTACCAAGCTGCTATGATAGGACCCTGGCCCAGACCCAAAACTGGGGAAAATAAAGCAATAGAATATATAGATTTAATGAGGAGAGGACGGTAAGTTCTTTTTTAAAAAAATTAATTCATACTTATAATAACTTTAATATTACTTAATTATCCCCAGATTTACTCACTAGGTGTAAGATGGCAAGAAGTGACAATTTATACGAAGCACGCATCGTGAATCAAAGTTATCTGGAAATATTCCATTGGTAACATATTTTGACTGATTTAATGATGCCAATTTGGAATTCAGATTGTGCGTTCAACTTTGAGAGAGTATCATACCCTGCAATGTTACTGAAATTAAAAGAATGATGAAAATAAAACCCATACCAGTACTGTATATGAACATCCCCGTCAGTGTTGTCAAATATGAGGCAAGTACGTTATTGACCATGAGTAAACCAGCACAGATCACGTACACATAGAGAATGTACCCCTTCAGGTGGTCGCCCATCAGAGACACCAGGAGACGACTCAAAAATCCCGCCACGCCGTCCGCGGTCAAACAGTGAGCGCCATCTGCAGGTGTGTATCCTAAACTTTCGACTTGCTTCACCTGGTATAAGTGGAATTGTTAGAGTGTCAATGAATGAAGCGTATCCGGAAAGATGACTTTGCGGTTGGACATTTCGAAGATGGATTATGGTAGAACATAGATTACATATAAATGCTAAACGTACGATACTAATGCCAAAGTCATATTTACATTACTAATCAATGGTACACTCGGCTGATTTTTTTAAAATTAGGTATTTTGTTAAAACTAAGTATTTTGACTATACTCCCCTTAACGATTCCTTACCAGAATTGCATAGGATATCGTTTGACATATACCCTTGCTGAGGTAGACGACAAACCACGTCGCCATGACAACGACGCGAACCTGCTTACTCCATCTTATTTCAATAGATGGCGACGCCTTCTGCTTTGGGAAAAGGGGAGATTCTGATTGTATTGCTGATTGTAACACGTCCTTGGTTGGTTTCTGTAACGTGTGGATTGATATGATGGTCCAAAAAGCGTAAAAAGATGCTAAAACGAGATACCCATACCTCCACCCGATTGTTTGATGGAGCCACTGTATTAAGTTTCCAAAAATGACGGTGCCTTAAACGAAAGAAAATAAATATATAGAATAACTTGAACTTGGTCAGGTGAAGGAGGCCATGCAATACCATCTCAAAATGAAATAATTTAGTCTATCCGAGTACGTCTGAATGTCTGTGTGTGAATGTTTCTGTCTGTTCGTCTGTTTGATTGTATGGATATACACGGACTGCATGCATATGTGCACATATGCACATATGCATGCATATGTGCATGTGCAATTATGTGAATTGTTGTATGGTTTTTTAGTTAATGTGTCTTTAAGGCACATTCCTTTTCATTTTAAACTTGTAATAGCTATATGTTGTCCGTTCTGTGAGTATTTTATTACATGTATATATATATACACCTAAAGGCATTGTAACCATGGACCAGCTGGTGCTCATCACGTGATATCTGTGTTCCCATGGAAACCAGTCAGCTACGATAAAGAATAAAGGCGAAACAAGAATGTTCATCCCGAGGCCGTACAAGACTCCATAGGAAAATATCAGGTACAGCGCACTGGGGGCAAGTGAAGAGAGACCGAGTCCTAATACCACCAGCAGCGTCCCCGTGAACGCTGCAATCCTGTAGCCACAGTGATCTGATGTGACTTTGCCAATGAAGCTGGCGGTACTGCAGCATAGGAAGAACACTGATTGGATAACACCTTGAAAATAGAATACATGTACATAGTTTGAATATGCTTTAAGAACAACAAAAAGTTCCAGATGTTTTAATACAAATCAACGTGTGTCATAAATGTGAGGCAAAAATATTTTGATTTGTAATAGGTAAATGGTATTCTCTATACAGAATAAAAAACAGTTATACAACTGTACGTACACTGGTCACAACTTCTTAATTAACTTAAAGTTGAGAACCATAGGGGTGTTAAGTTTATTAAAATTAGTCACAAATTAAGACGACATAATTTCGGCCTTAATATAAGTCGGTAACCATGTGCCACTATCATTTGAAGAGCACAGCATAAATTCTGAGGCACCTACATTCATCACAACATTATCAGTATAAACACGTACTGCCTACTATACGAAGATGACTTAGTAATTTTATCCAAATCAGCAGAAGGATTACAAACAGGACTTGACAACCTGGATAGATATTGTAAAAAGTGGAAACTTACTGTTAACTCAAAGAAAACTAAAATTATGGTATTTAACAAATCTGGCAAAACCCCCAAAATCAATTTTAATATAAATAGTGAAATCTTAGAAGTCACCAATGAATACACATACTTAGGAATCAAACTGAAGTCAAGTGGATCATTCAAAAGTGCACTCAATGACCTTAAAGGCAAAGCAATGAAAGCCAACTTCATGATTAAACAAACATTATCTTCCACAGCAAAAAGTCTTATTCACCTTAAACTGAAACTGTTTGATACATTAATCAAACCCATCCTTCTATATGGCTGTGAAATTTGGGGACCTACTCTCATTGCTAAAAACCTTAACTCTATCAAATCTATGAACACATTCCCTTTTTGAACATGTACACAACAAATTCTGCAAATCACTACTGGGAATTCAACATAACAGCAGTAACATTATAGCAGCCAAAGCGGAACTTGGCAGACTTCCACTTACATAAAGTGTACTTAAACAAACAGCAACATACCTAAAACGATTTACAGAGGTCCCAGATAGACAACTTTTAAAAAAGATATATCTGAGTGAAACCCTAGAGGTAAAATCAAAGGGAAACTGGAGACAGAATATGGACACAATCTACCAAACTTTTTTCCGCCCAAACAGGCACAGCCTCCAGATAGATAAAAATGAAATGAGCAAAGCTTTCGGCGACCACTACAAAATACTATTTTCTAAGGAACTGGAAAGAGAAAATGGACTACTAAGAACATATAAACTATACAAATCAACTTATGAAGATGAAGAATATTTAAATGCTCCCCTAACAAAACAGGAACTCCAGAACCTAGCAAAATTTAGAACCGGTGCCCATGACCTAGAAATACAGAGAGGCAGATTTCAAAAACCCACCCCTCTACCGCCTGAAAAGAGAATAAGTTTGCAGACAAGGAGTACAGAATGAAATACACTTCCTGTTGTTATGTCCCCAATACCAAAACCAAAGAAAAAATCTAAACCAACAATTAGCCCAAAACACAAACCACACTGAACAAGTCAAATCACTAATGCAAAACAGAAATCATGACACAATACAAAATCTAGCTAGATACATAACAATATGTAACCAAGAAATATCCGGTATTCTCTACCAGCCACCANTGCCCTTGGTACCGGAAGTAGGTTGTCTCAATTGTTAGCTTTAGTAAGTCCCCAAAGTCCTCTAGGAGTCCTCCTAAGGGAGGGGCAGGCAAGGGGGGGGGATCTGACCAAATAGCACACCAGAGGGGGTGACAGGTTGTCATACCTGTCACAACCTCATTCCCTGATGAAATCTGACTGCAAGCAGATGAAATATTGGATGGTAAGATCAAACTAATATAAATAGCTATAGACAAAAGAATCTTCACAAGTCTGAAATGAGCAAAGCTTTCGGCGACCACTACAAAATACTATTTTCTAAGGAACTAGAAAGAGAAAATGGACTACTAAGAACATATAAACTATACAAATCAACTTATGAAGATGAAGAATATTTAAATGCTCCCCTAACAAAACAGGAACTCCAGAACCTAGCAAAATTTAGAACCGGTGCCCATGACCTAGAAATACAGAGAGGCAGATTTCAAAAACCCACCCCTCTACCGCCTGAAAAGAGAATATGTAGAGTTTGCAGACAAGGAGTACAGAATGAAATACACTTCCTGTTGTTATGTCCCCAATACCAAAACCAAAGAAAAAATCTAAACCAACAATTAGCCCAAAACACAAACCACACTGAACAAGTCAAATCACTAATGCAAAACAGAAATCATGACACAATACAAAATCTAGCTAGATACATAACAATATGTAACCAAGAAAGATCCGGTATTCTCTACCAGCCACCACCTACTAAATGAAAGAAATATATATGATATTTTAAGGTCAGTTATAATGTGAAAATACAGAATGTATCAAGTTGTATAATTTGCACCTCTGTTAATGGATGTATAACACCACTTACTAGTACACTTAAGTATACACACTAAGTATTAATATATGGTACCTATGTAATTGTTTGGTCATAGCCTTTGTAAATTGTGCTAGAACTAATAAAGATTATTATTATAAACGAGGGGATGATATAACCCTGTAGGTGTATTTGTATTTATGTCTTCCTAACGTAGAGAGAAGCTATGCAAACGACGTTCAATTCTTCACTGAAAATCATTTTCACCAGTAATTTCTTTTTCTGTTCACTTTCAACATCTGAAAATTAATCTACTAAAATCATTTAAATGAAACTTCAGTGGCTGCAAATATTTTAAACGGCTTACCTAGGGTGGCCTGGGACGAGGATCCCAGCACCGCGTCTCTGCTGAATGTCGTCACAAACACACCCCAACTCATTTTAATGCCGTTGAAGGCAAGAAACAGGATAGATGTAAGCAAGACAATTAGCCAGCCGTAATACATCTTCAACTACTGGAGCGATTACTTCATTAGTGTGCCAAAATCGGTTAGGCAGGTCGTGCAGCCGTGTGTTTGCTGTATAAACCAATGACTTTAGTTGCAAATATTGCAGTGAGGGGCGCATGTCTGCGCATGTGTCACACTGTCAGTCTGCATCTGTCCTGCCAACATAGGGTTGCATTTCAAGTTACTTCTGTGGATTTTTAGCAAACATTTTTGACCACAATATGCTACTAAACTAACATATTTATTCCTTTACTATAAAAGAACATAGCGGTATGTCATTCCATCATATAAACGGGGTTAAAGTTTGAAACCAGGCATCATATACCTAAAAATCAATATGTATATAAATCTGTATATAAATATATACAGTGTTGTGTTGCCTGTTATTACAATTCTGTGCACCAAAATAATAAAAAGTAAACAGTATAGATATTCCACATTCCTTTCCATTGCCGCCAAGTGAGTTACCAATTTAACATGGGGCACGCACCACCTTGTACCAAATAATTTCCTATTGATGTTTCCAAGGATCATGAACCACACATGTTATGTCAAGGACAAGTAAATCTGAAAACCAGAAATGGGATTCAATTTTCTTTTTTTTTTTTTTGTACGATAATGCCGTTTAATTTTTTAAAATGTTATTTAGTAGTCAAGTGATACTAAGAATGATATCAGCTCGCTTCACTCTGATGTAATGTATCTTCTCACATTACGTTTTATACTGTTGCATTTAATCAGGGATATAAAAAGTCAAGTTACGCTAAACACGATAACAGACCAATTTACTCTGACATAATTTATTATATACATTACGTTTAATGCTTGAGCATGTCATATAGGATATTAAAAAAAAAAAACGGCCTGACATCTGAAAAACAGCTGAAAACCGGTCACAACTCTGGCACTACGTTGACCTTTACTTGTTTAACAAAATGTTTTATGTTAATATTTAACTAACATAACATGCGTTCATTTGGTTCAATATGTAGTTACCGTAATTTATTATCTGTTAAATGGCCACCAAGCCCAAAGCTTTTTTTTTATATATGTTCTTGTGTTGTTCAAGTCTTCAACAGAGCAAGTCGGGTCGCCTAAACGACCACGTAACATCTCCAATTATCACGTATATTATACACTGAGTACACGATTAAATATTTTATATACAACCCTTTGTGTAAAATATTTAAAAATATTATTCGGTGAGAATTGGCAGTGAAATCGCGATGATCTAATACCGACATTCTGACTTCGCTAATTTTCTTTGGACACTGTTTATGAAAATAATGACCGCAGTCAGGAGAGCGTTGACCAAGTACAAAGCCGCCATGGTTAAAAACGCTGACTTGTATGACCCGCTTATATCGTAAATAACACCTGAAACAAATACAAAGTTTATACCGTAGAATGTCTCTTTATATTAACGCCTTTCTTTAGTAGAGTCATTATTCATTATTCATTCTTATAATTATGTGTCAAACAGATATTCTAATAATAGCTTAAATGTCACTTTTTATGTTTGCATTCCTTTCTGTTAAAAATAATTTGATTTTAATTTCCTGAGCGCATCGTCTTTTATCACTATCATGTTAATAAAATGATAAATTTTATTTCAATTTATCATATTTTATATTGAAAAAAGACTTATAACAATTATTCTCTGCTAAATATCCATAATTGCGCATATCAAACATATACAGGGCCATTCAGAATAGATGGTCCGAGTACTAACTGATCCGCCGACTAAATATGGCGAACCCCACTTCAAAAGTGATGTGGCTTATTCCATGATGGTCTCCCCGCCTCCCCGCTGCTGGGGTCAAGCAATTAAACCTCGGAGCCAAGAATTAATTCGTTTAATGGCGCGTGTGGATGAGGGGATAACATCAAGAATCATGGGTATCGCTTCTGAAGTGGGATCGGTGGATCAGTTAGTACTCGGATTATCTATTCTGAATGGCCCCTTAGAAAATTTTAAAGACAGTACCTGCCAGGAAAGGTCCTACAGCGGCCCCCAGTCCCATGCCAGACCGTAGTAGAACAAACAGCGCTGGGACGTCCTGACCACTGAGTACCTCACCACATGAGGCGTACCAAGCTGCTATGATAGGACCCTGGCCCAGACCCAAAACTGGGGAAAATAAAGCAATAGAATATATAGATTTAATGAGGAGAGGACGGTAAGTTCTTTTTTTTTTTAAATTAATTCATACTTATCCCCAGATTTACTCACTAGGTGTAAGATGGCAAGAAGTGACAATTTATACGAAGCACGCATCGTGAATCAAAGTTATCTGGAAATATTCCATTGGTAACATATTTTGACTGATTTAATGATGCCAATTTGGAATTTAGATTGTGCGTTCAACTTTGAGAGAGTATCATACCCTGCAATGTTACTGAAATTAAAAGAATGATGAAAATAAACGCATACCAGTACTGTATATGAACATCCCTGTCAGTGTTGTCAAATATGAGGCAAGTACGTTATTGACCATGAGTAAACCAGCACAGATCACGTACACATGGAGAATGTACCCTTTCAGGTGGTCGCCCATCAGAGACACGAGCAGACGACTCAAAAATCCCGCCACGCCGTCCGCTGTCAAGCAGTGAGCGCCATCTGCAGGTGTGTATCCTAAACTTTCGACTTGCTTCACCTGGTATAAGTGGAATTGTTAGAGTGTCAATGAATGAAGCGCATCTGGAAAGATGACTTTGCGGTTGGACATTTCGAAGATGGTTTAACGGATTATGGTAAGACATAGATTACCGGATTATGGTAACACATAGATTACATATAAATGCTAAACGTACAATACTAATGCCAATGTCATATTCACATTGCTAATCAGTGGTACACTCGGTTTAATTTTTTAAAATTAGGTATTTTGTTAAAACTTAGTATTTCGACTATACTCCCCTTAACGATTCCTTACCAAAATTGCATAGGATATCGTTTGACATATACCCTTGCTGAGGTAGACGACAAACCACGTCACCATGACAACGACGCGAACCTGCTTACTCCATCTTATTTCAATAGATGGCGACACTTTCTGCTTTGGGAAAAGGGGAGATTCTGATTGTATTGCTGATTGTAACACGTCCTTAGTTGGTTTCTGTAACGTGTGGATTGATATGATGGCCCAAAAAGCGTAAAAGGACGCTAAAACGAGATACCCGTATCTCCACCCGATTGTTTGATGGAGCTCTGGATTAAGTTTCCAAAAATGACGGTGCCTATAACGAAAGAAAATAAATATATAGAATAACTTGAACTTGGTCAGGTGATGGAGGCCATGCAATACCATCTCAAAATGAAATAATTTAGTCTATCCGAGTACGTCTGAATGTCTGTGTGTGCATGTTTCTGTCTGTTCGTCTGTTTGATTGTATGGATATACACGGACTGCATGCATATGTGCATGTGCAATTATGTGAATTGTTGTATGGTTTTTTAGTTAATGTGTCTTTAAGGCACATTCCTTTTCATTTTAAACTTGCAATAGCTATATGTTGTCCGTTCTGTTAGTATTTTATTACATGTAGATATATACATACCTAAAGGCATTGTAACCATGGACCAGCTGGTGCTCATCACGTGATATCTGTGTTCCCATGGAAACCAGTCAGCTACGATAAAGAATAAAGGCGAAACAAGGATGTTCATCCCGAGGCCGTACAAGACTCCATAGGAAAATATCAGGTACAGCGCACTGGGGGCAAGTGAAGAGAGACCGAGTCCTAATACCACCAGCAGCGTCCCCGTGAACGCTGCAATCCTGTAGCCACAGTGATCTGATGTGACTTTGCCAATGACGCTGGTAGTACTGCAGCACAGGAAGAACACTGATTGGATAACACCTCGAAAACAAAATTAATAGTTTAAATATACTTATAGACAAGACAATAGTTCCGGATGTTACATACAAAATAACGCACGTTATTAAAGTGAAGCAAAAACATGTTCAATATGTTATAAGTTACTTTTATGAAAGCGCAGTGCACGGAAATCACTTCACAGAAGACAATTTCAGCTTCGCGCTTTTCATGCGACACTTTCAGTGTGATTACACAATGAATTCCTTCATGTTGATTTTAGTGAGAAAGCTGCAGCAGGAATATATATAGTCCTTTAAGAACGGTAATCGCTTATCCATTACTTTCTACAGGTGAAATTCGCCCCATTTACTGACCCCAAAACTGTACTAATTACTAGAGACTCCTGACTCCCATTCCATTTGGAGAACCTCCGCCCCCCCCCCCCCCCCCAATGCTACATGTACCCCAACTGGTGGCCACTGCGTTAATATAAAAGGGTGTTTTAACAATGATGACCATAAGCCTGACCGTTATTATAATACAGACAAATATAATTTTAATAAGTGGTAATTCATGACGATTGTCATGTTAATAATTTATTATGATTTATTTGACACTTAATATGAGAAGAAAGCGTCAAAGAAGAATATTTAATACGGACGCAGTGGTGAAATGTGAACTAGCCAAACCTGTGTGATATTTGTCACCACTTTATTAGGTATTGAACAGCGTCCCTGGGGTGGATTAAAACAAACTGGGCATTTGGCATCAAGATACTCTCTCTCTCTCTCTGTGTGTGTGTGTGTGTGTGTGTGTGCGTGTGTGCTCTGTTTCATCATAAAACTTCCGATATAGTATGCACGTCCCTGGTTAAAATAGACAGGTGTATTTGTATCAATGTCCATCTAACGTAAGGAGAAGGTGTGCAAACGACGTTCAATTCTTCACTGAAAATCATTTTCACCAGCAATTTCTTTTTCTGTTCACTTTCAACATCTAAAAATTAAGCGACTAAAATAATTTAAATGAAGCCTCAGTGGCTGCAAATATTTTAAACGGCTTACCTAGGGTGGCCTGGGACGAGGATCCCAGCACCGCGTCTCTGCTGAACGTCGTCACAAACACACCCCAACTCATTTTAATGCCGTTGAAGGTAAGGCACAGGATAGATGTAAGCAGGACAATTAGCCAGCCGTAATACATCTTCAACTACTGGAGCGATTACTTCATTAGTATGCTAAAATCGGTTAGGCAGGTCGTGCAGCCGTGTAATTGCTGTAGAAACCAATGACTGTAGTTGCAAATATTACTGAGCACGTGTCACACTGTCAGTCAGTCGCGCGGTCTGCGTTTGTCCTGCCAGCATGGGGTTACATTTCAAGTTAGTTGGTGGGTAGTCAGGCGCGAGTTATTTCAAACACATACAAATCCAGATTATGTAATACATCTGAGGATTTTGACCTAATAAGTACGATTGCCTGTCCTTCCATATCTGACACTGCACAAGATAGAACAAGTAATCATACTTGAAGCGTTCGAGGGGATTGCCTTTATTTTATACATTTTTGTCGCAAATTTCTTTTAAGAGCCAAAGGAATGCGCCGCTA